GAAAAAAAAAAAAAAAAATAGGATGCGTCGAGAAGAACTCTAAACATTGTGTTCTAGATCGAAACACGAACTTCGCTAGAGCGTAACATTCCCATGAAAGGATTCTTCACTTCGATGTCGAATAGAAAACGTTCGTTCAGAGAGAAAAGTTTCATGAATCTGTTCGGAAATACTCTTCCAGAATCAATAGAATTTATATATATATAAATATTTATAAATATATTTAACAATAAGTGAACATTTGTTTATTTTATTTTATTTTATTTCTATCGGTTTAGAAAAATCAAAAATTCAAGACGATTTACTCGATAATTGAACTTTCAAATTTTAATAACATAATTTAAAAAAAAAAGTGATAATTCGAAATGGAATAAAAAAAAAAGAAAACCTTAGTGAATGATCTATGACTCTTTGTCTATCAATACGGATAATTGGATTTCTTTGAAATTGAAATGAACGAGGTGCGTCATGTCTGGACGAGCTTACGAACGTCATCGAGAAGTTCGACGTTAAATTCTAATATGAGTAACGATGGTAATCGTGATAGTAATCGTGCATCAAGTTCGACATGGTACGATATACCGACACCTATAATAATACACTGTCGTGATTTTCGCGAGAACGAAGTTGAAATGATTAATGACAAAATGGAAGAAGATCAAAAGTGTCAAGAAAAAGAAGATAATGAACAAAATGTACGAGTTGTATCTACAAATGACAAAATTCACATTGACGAAGTATTATACGAGAATAATATAGATATAGTTAAACAAGAAAATAATACGAATGATATACAAGATGAATCGAGATTATTAAAGATTATCTCGAACGATTCTAAAACGAACGAAGAACAACGACAAGTTTCTTTGGAAGATAAGAATAAAAAGCACATTAATAGCGTCGAATTAATGGCAACAACATCGGTGAAAACCGACGAGCATGGTATGCCAACGATAAGTTTCAGCTTTCTTCAAGGTGATGAATTACTCGAAAGGAATACCCATCAAATAGATGAGATCAAGATTGATGATAAAAATGATATTACAGAAGATGCATTATTGGATAGATTGTACGATTTTCCGAAAAAATCGCCTAACGACAAGGATAAAGTAGAACTTAGTCGTTGTCATCGTAATGATGAAAATTCTGATGACGTAATTGGTGAATTATACGACAAACCAAAAGCATTGTCGAGTGAAAAATTATTTTTCGATCTTTCGCAAAAGCAAGATAACGATGTGACGACGAMGACGACGAAGACAACTGATAAGGAGATTAATAATATTACTGAAAGAAAATTTATAAGAACTGCAAATACATTGCACGGATCTTCCGTTAGATCGTTGAAATGGAAAAAACATCGTAAACATTCGGAAAATAATATTGGAGTAACTTCAACGTCTGGTTGTTATTCGGATCCCGAATGTTCCAACGATACTACGTCCAACACGTCACGTGGACGTCTTAGATTGGAGAAACGTAAATTGGGTAAAGCTTGGGGAAAAATGAGAAATTGGTTGAAAGATGAGAAGAGTAAACTCAGTGAAGTTATTCAACGACACGCACGAATGCAAAACGTCGGTGCTATGATCAATAATGACCCTAACGACGACGACGACGACGACGATCATGGTTTATCTTTCAAGGACAATAAATTGAGTAAAGGTACGAGACATGCTTCTTACGATTTAACCAAAGCTCGAACCCAACAATTGGGTTCTATCACTAGGGTCGAGGAATTTGGTTTATCATCGATAACAAAAAATGAAACCAATGAAGAGGATCGTGAAAATGTGTCTAACGTCACTAAACGTTCAAATTCAGGTTCACCAGATTCTGAGAAAGTTTTTATCGATGAAACAAATCCGGGAGATGATTCACCAACCTGTAGAAGAAAAGTATTGTCTAAAACGGCTAGTTCCGATGATATTGTTGGTAATGGAAAGAAAAGTCCGATTTTGCCGGTCTCTTTCAGCATGGACAAACTTTGTTCTGATACGGAAAACGATGAGACTAGTGCACGTAGTACCGAGTTAGAAACGACAAGGGATCGCAGTGGGAAAGGCGGCATGATTAAGAAGAGAATGTTGGGGTCAATCAGGGGGTTAATGGCCTCCACTCATCTCCTACAGACCAACGATATACACGAAGAGGTACACACAATCGTATCTTCTTTTTCAATCTACATATACTAATATACAAACAATAATAACAAAAATAATAACAATAATAATAATAATAATAATAATAATAATAATAATTGAAGTGATTTTTCTGAGAGAAAAAAAAAAGAACATTTTCATAGGACAAACAATTAGATTGTAATTCACATTGTATCTGGAACAACAACCTGTTAGAAAATATGGTATAACGTCAGGTATCCTTGAATCAATACCCAACGTAATTTTTACTATTAACGCTATTGCACTATAACATTCGATCATTATCCTGTCTTTGAAATCGTACGAATATATGCACACAGATACCATGATTCACTATATCCGTTATAAGCCTTATACACACGATAAAACTCTCTAACTTACGCGTATAGAGTTATAAGTGACGGGATACTACTCTTGTTCCCTCCCCCATTTACAATCAGACACCGTTTAAACTCGACGTTGTATGGACGATACATTCTATGTATGCACAATGTTGTGCATACGTAAACATCACCATAAAAAGAGATGGAGGAAGACGAATGATTTTCTATCAATTTATAATCGATTTTTTATTTTAATTAATTATTATAGTTTTTGTTAAAATGTATCATTTAATGTCATTGGAAATATCTATAGAAATAATCCTAGTAGCATAAAATATTGAAAAATATTAAATACATGTGTATTTAATATTAAATTTATTTATAATATTATAATATTATATTTATTAATTATTTTATTATATATTAATATATATATATATAATAATATTATATATTATATATATAATATATTATATTTTAATTTATTTTAAATATATTTAATTATAATATATTATTCATATTATAATTTAAATTTTTATTAAAAAATTATTTAAATTATATTATTTTAAAATTATATATTAAATATATATTAAAATAATATATATAATTTATTAATATATATATTATATAAATATTATTATATAAAAATTTATATTATAATATATAATAATATAATAATAATAAGTATTAATTAATATAATATAATTAAATACTAATTAAATTTAATAATAAATACACATGTATTCAATATTTTCTCAATATTTTGTGCTATTAGGGAATGTTTTTTAAAGTATATCATTTAATGTCATTGAAAATATCTAATGAAATAAATAATTAATGGGATTATTGATAAAAGAATAGAAAAATTGGGACACAAATATTTGATTGTATTGTCCAGAAAACGATGAACCATCGATAAATCTATGGCAAAAGTGTAAATAAGCGAAATGGCCTTTCGCTTTTTCCGCGAAGTGCTATCGAACCTTTCACTTTTACGAAAGTCCGTGTGATCGTATTGCAAAATGTATATCTTACGGTATTATTCACAAAACTACTGTTTTTTTTTCTTTCTTTTTTTCGTACCTTCCTTCCTTCCTTCCTTCCTTTCTTTCTTTCTTTCCGGTGAGAATACATATTATTGTTTAGATTTAATAAGCGACATTTTATCGCAATTTTATCTCGTTTCAATGACATTACGTGCCATTATATTCTTTACTTCCGACATCATTTTATTATATTATTATTATATATATATATACACACACTTTCGATTAATTCAACATGTCGGATTGAAATTGTATAACAATTTATACTAAATCATAACGACAGAAACATTTGAAATGAATCACATTTTGATTGATTTTCTATAATGTTGATTTCAACTTGACATAGTTTAACATTTCGTTAAAATAATTTGTTTTTGATTTTTTTGAAAAATCTAACACGTGTCGATTTTCTAAATCGTCGTAGAAGATTATTGACAGGTATAATATTGAAAGACAAACCCACCTTTTTCCCCCCCATGGTTCGATCCAAGAGAAATGATAGTAACATACATAAATCTAATAGTGGTGCCGAGGTAGGTCTCTTTCTAAGCAAAGTCAGCAAAACTTACGATGGCAAGTGCACATTGGTGTATATGTCTACATGGAAAGTGTGGGAAAGTTGTTGCTTGGAGAAAATAACCGACTTTGTTTTAATCGTGCGCACGCGTTTACAAAACCAGCCAGCCGTGCGTATTTATGATCATTTGATTAGAGAAAACTTCTCCTTCCCCATAGCTTTTACATTGTTCTAGTATATTTCTCTTTTTTTTTTTTTTCTATTCAAATAAAATAATTATATATATTTATTAAGTTTATGAACAAAAATTATAGAAATTATTTACCTATACTTAGATATAAATATATATTTAAAAAAAAATTTTTTTTTTTTTACTTTATTTACGTATACAATTTTTTTTTTTGTAATATTTTATATTAAATTTAATATTATATTTATAATTTTAATATTATATTTTTATTTAATAAATTTTTTTTTTTTTACTTTATAATATACCTATACAATTTTTTGTAATATTTTATATTAAATTTAATATTATATTTTTATTTTTATTTAAATAATACTTAAAAATAGAAATATAATATATTAAATAATTTCATATAATAAATTAAATAATTTTAAATATTTTAATTTAAATTTATATAATATTATATTTATTTAAAATATTATATTTTATTTAATATATATATATTTTTTTACTTTATAATATACCTATACAATTATTTGTAATATTTTATATTAAATTTAATATTTTAATATAATACTTATAATTTTAATATTATATTAAATTAATAATTTTAATATTATATTAAATTTAATATTTTAATATTATATTTTATTTAATATTTTTTTTTTCACTTTATATACGTATAAAATTTTTTAATATTTCAATATAATATTTATAATTTTAATATCAAATTTATAATTTTAATATTATATTATATTTAACATTTTTTTTTGCTTTTTTACTTGATATACGTATAATGACGTAGTAAAATGGTAAAAAATAAGGAAAAGAAGAAGAAGAAGAAGAAAAAAAAAGAAATTCTTATCGAAAGGAAACAGTGTCCGAGAAGGCCACTGTTCCGATTTATAAAACTTTGATCACGTATTACAACACAGAAACAGGAACGTGTTCGTTAATGAGGCTCGCTCTATTCCACATGGGGGTCATGTCGAATACTTCATCACAGATAATTAAAGCGAATAAATCTTTAAGTTTCAAAGATCGAAACGATTTATAATAAATCCCTCATTTTTTTTTCGATAAATATTCATATATATATAGATATTTTTTTTTATTACATCAATCAAATCATATAACTCGAAAACGTAAGAAAATTTATTCACTTTTACTTTTACTTTTAATTCATGATATTTATATTTTAATTTTATCATAAATTGCCATATGAATATTCAAATATATTTTTCGAATTGGTTTGTATCAATATTAAATCACATAGAATTATTGTAACTTTTCTTACATTAATGGACCAAATAGAAAAAAAAAATGTTTTTTGCTATGAGAAATAGCAAGAGAATCTCTCTCTCTCTCTCTCTTTCTCTCTTTCTCTTTCCAAGACACATATCAGCTTATGCATATATTTGTGTAGTGTTTTGTAGATAAATGTGTGCAAGAGAAATTGAGATGTATGTATTTCGTATAAAATTGTGCGAAACTAAATGCTTTAAGAAAGTACTTTCTGCGATTTCCACTCTCCCTCCTACTTTTCGTCTTCCCTCCCTCCCTCCCCCCTCCTCCTCTGCCCCCCCATCCTCCCGCTCTTCATTTCTATCTATCCTCACTGTAAAATAAAATAATCGAAAAAGATATATTATAGAAGGGRAAAAGATATGGTGACATGATTTTCTAATATATTCATAGAATCAAAATAGAATTTTAAAACAACCTGAGCTTTGTTTTTTTTTTCTTTTCTTTTCATTTTTCATTTTTCATAATTTTAATTGGTGAAAACGTGTATTGATACGAGAATGATAAAAATGAAAGCAGATTATTGAGAAGAAAAATTAAAAATAAAATATAGAAAATATTTGTAAAATATCTAAAACAATGAAAGAAAAGAAAAAAAAAAAAAATTATAAAGACATTATTTTTCTTGTTAAAGAAGGAAGGAATGAAAACGAATGAACGAACGCGTGCCTGCCTTTGATCCAGTTTCCTTGACATTTCATTAATTTCCGTTCACCATTTCGATTATGCGTGTTTTTCTTGTTTTTTTTTGTAATTTTTCCCTTTTTCACGTCACTGAATACGCGTATACTTTTTTTTTTGTTTCTTTCTTTTTTCTTTTTTTACCTATACTCACATCTTTTATACAAGCGTGTTAGAACGTATTAGTGAGCCGGTTTTGACCTTCTTAGATTCTAACTCGACCGTGGAAACTTATCTAACGATTTAGAACTAAATTCTTAATTTCTTTTAATAGTTCAGTTTAATCGTACTATAAAAAAAGCCTAATCAAATTCAAAATATCCTTGGTTTATATTTATCTATGTTTTTTTTTGTTGTTGTTGTGATTTACAAATTTTAATGTTTTCTTAACCGAGCAATTTTGTTTGACAATTATCCCATTAACACATTTTGGTTTGATTTATTTATTAATTATAAATTATTATAATAATTGTACTTTTAATGTATTATAATTTCATACTTTTTTTGTTTGTTTATAACATTGTACTTTTATTTGTTTTATTTTGTTTGTTTGTTAAGGGAGGTCAAAGTGGATTCGAAGATATTCGAAGATATGTTAAACAAGGTGGTGATTTTTGCAAAGAGTTGGCATCAATTTTACACGAAAGGTAATAATTATTATGATCAATAAATTATTTACAATATAAATAAGTTGAAAAATGTAACATAAATATTTGTCTTTTGATTAGGGCTGAACTGGAAGCAACGTATGCTAAAGGTTTAAGTAAATTGAGCGGTAAATTAACGAAGGCTTGTTCCAAAGATCAAAGTAAGTCAACATAACATTTCTTATGTTATATCTTTCTCTCTAATATAGTAAAAGAACTCTCGAGAATAATTATCGTTATAACTTTTTCTTTTTTTTTTTTACGTATATATGCATATACGTTTATTTACTATTAATTTATTTACACAGGTGGAAACAGTAATGGAGGTGTGAACGAAGCATGGAGATGCGTCGGAGAAGAAATGGAAGCTGCCGCTGAAGCCCATAGAGTATGGGGCATTGCGTTAGGTGAACAATTAGCTAAACCTTTAAGAGTAAGTTGATATAATATAATTATTCTATTTCGAAATATCGTTGATTGTGAGATATATGTAGGTGTTGAATGACATCACCATCTACGTAAATTCTCTATCTCGTTTCACAGCGATTACGACATTTCATTTCAGAAATTCTACTACAATTTATTTTTCCCCCACTCTTCTATTTGACTTTTGAAAAAGTGTTATACGGATAATCCTCCTAAAACATAGCATCCTATAAAACGATTAACGCTCTAAAAAATTACTAAAATACTCTATTTCTACAGCATTGTATTTCTATAACACTGGATAACACAATGATTGCTTAATTATTCAATTATTTAAAAACTAAATTACTTTAAAATAATGACGCCATGAAATAATGAACTTTGAATTTCAAATAACACAGTTTCACTCAACTCAACACTTTCTAGGAACCTATCTCTACCGTTTACAGAGTTACTTGTATTTAATAAAAAATGAATATTTAGGTGGGCGTGGCAGAGGCTCAAGGTCGTTCGAGAAAATCCATCGAAAATTCTGTGGACAAGGCATTAAAGTCTCTACAGGAATGGCGTAACATCGCATCCAAAACTAAGAAACAAAGTTTTGCTTGTGCGAGAGAGAACGAAAGGCTGCAGGATTTGGCAAGGCTTCAATCGATCAGTCAAAGCCAACAAAATAATAATAAATCGTCTAATCATCATATGACGGAAAAAGAAGCGAATAAATTAGAAGCTAGAAGGAGGAAAGCCGAAGACTCATCTCGTAGAGCTGATACAGAATTTTACACGGTTAGCGTAAGAGCTGAAAGAGCTAGATTGGAGTATGAAAATACTGTGAGAAAAGGATCTAAACAAATGGAACTTCTCGAGGAAGAACGTTTGAGTGCTTTGAAAGATCTTGCTAATGTTTATTTGGCACATCTGCAGGCTCTTGCTCCTCGTTTGCAACAGGTATAATCAAATTATTTATTGTTTTCTTCATTATCTTATCTTTTAGATACTAGTTGGAAATAAGAGTTTGATTATTAATTAATTATTGTTTTTAGAGTGCCGATCGTGTATCGACGCCTGTAAGAAATTGTAATGTATCTCAAGACGTGGAAATTTTGAAGAATCTTATACGTAGAACGGAAACTAATGATACGGTCAACGCGGAACAATTACTTCCAGATTTTTATGCGGAACATATAACGTTAGCTATGAACAGAGAACGAAGAAAACAATCGTTAGTTAGAATTCTGCATTTAATAAGACAAGATTTAGAAAGAGAAAGGCGAGGAAGGGAAGGACTGGAAACTTTGCATAGAGCTTTTATCAAGACACCTGCATTTGCAGCTGATGAAAGTACACAAAATGTTACGGACAAATTGCATCATGTAGGTAGAAAAAAGGAATCCACGTAGGTAGTAAGGTGATACATCATATATTTTATAATCAATATTATTGTTTTTTTAGATGCGTTCCATGTTGTTATATTTGGAAGCAGCAAGATATAAGGTTGGTGGAACGTTAGCAGAAGTTGAAGGTAGCAAAAGAAATAAACATCCATTAGCAGAACATATATTAGTCTCTAGAGATAAACAAGGACTTCAACAAAGTGTTCTCAAGGTAAATAATATAAGTATCTTTGCAGTTATAATAAGAATATTTATCGAATAAATATGTGATTTTAATAATCGATCATTAATCATTTTTATAGATTCCTTCTTGGGCAAGGAATGAATCTTTTGAGATACAAGATATCGATGATGAAATAGACGTGCATTTAGTAAAGGGACACGAAACTGAGAACCGAGACTGGACAGATAGAACGGCTGGTGATGGTAATTCCGAAAATCCACCAGATGAAGAAGACTTTAGCGATTTTGACGAATTCAGTAGTCATTCTGAAGACAATAATAATCAAGACGTTGATGTTACGGATGAAACACCTAAATCAGATAGAACGGAACAATGCAGGGCAATATATCATTATGCTGCAAATCTCAATGACGAATTGAGCCTGAATCCTGGTGATCTAATAACTGTTCATCGAAAACAGGCGGATGGTTGGTGGATAGGTGAATGTAGAGGACGAACTGGAATCTTCCCTGCCACATATGTTCAAGTAATACATTAAAAGATGTTTTTTTTATGAAACATCTTTTGTTGCAATGTATTTTTATGATTTTTTTTTTCTGCAAACACACGTATAATTAATTATTATTTATCAAATACCAAGGAACAAAGTGCCAATGATTACAAATTAAAACGACGATATAATAAACGCACAAAATACGTGATTAAACCTTAATTAGCTCAAAACATATAATTTAATTAATGTTACCAAACCATGTTGTAAGAATATAACAGGTACTTGTGTAGTAACAAATATTAATGTTCTTATGTAATTTGTTCTTTTTACATTTATCGCAATCTAACTTAAATGATTTTATATAATGCTATGAGCTAACTGGTTAAATCTTTCGTCATTAGAAATTGTATATAAATGTTGCCAATTGTAAATATTAGTCAAAATGTAATTTAAATGAGATGCGTATTAATATAAATGCTATATATATATATCTATCTATATATATATATATATAAATAGTATTTTTAAGATAAAAATAATGCATTTATTTACGTAAATAATATCTGTATGTATCAGCTCTGTCTAGCCTTGTTAGTATATAATATTTTTAAATAAAAATTTAAATAAACATTTATGCCAAACGAAATTAATTATTAAAATAAAAAGAAACGTGTCTTATATTATACATAAAATTTCTAACAGCGATTGCTATGATGTTATGACGTCCTTAATCTTGTCTATGCACTCATTTCTGGCATAACATTAATTGAATTTTTTGATTAACTATCCTTATTTAACCTCCACAATGTTTGCAAAAGAAAATATGGCCTGCTGACTAGAAGAGAAGTTGGACAGTGCTGGTATATATAATAAAATAATGTATTTTCCTTTTTCTCTCTTTTAATCGTTAAGCTCATCATTAAAGTCAATCTTCAATTGATTCTTCACTTCTTCTGGTAATTCTGTTTCATTAACTGAAATAATTACATTCACATGATCGTGTGTGTTCATAAAATTTATTTTATTATATTATATTTTCCGTAATTTAGAATAGTATTTACCGCAATATGGTGAACTATTATTAGTAAATAGAAAGAAAGTCCCACGATGAGGATAATTCTCTGCTTCAATACCCATTTCAATGCAAACATCCCTGTTACATGGCTCGGATATTATTTTTTCTATATTTTTATACGTCAAGTCCCAATAATGTGACCAGAATTTACAATTCTTTGTAGAAGTTAATAACAGAGATTCGATAAGATATATATAAGAACGACCATGATTGCATATTGTTTGATGAATATCTAAAAATAAATCATTTCTTTAATTTCATTCAGATTATTCTAAATATTTTTAGAAAAACTTTATATATAAAGAGTTTTACATCTTTGAGGAATAGGTAAATAGTCAAAATACGTTTTGTTTGATTCAAGACAACCTGGTTGATTTTTTCCACCATTAGGATAGAAATCTACATGACCTGAAATTATATTATTCATTAATGCATTAAAATATTGTTAATAAATAAACAACAAACAGATATATGATATAATATTAACGAACGAACCAATAGGCTCTGGTAAACCTAAACCCAGATTGGAGAGTAATTTTCCATTAGTGTGTATTACGTCGACAAATGGTGCATCCGTTTTATCTAAATGAAGAGAAGGACAGGTATTTCTGAAACATGGCTGCGCTGGATCTAGACCAGTAATTCTATGAATGATCCAATTACTTTGTCTCTTTTGAAATTCTTTTGCAGCAAAGCCACAAATGTGTGCTCCAAGACTATGACCAATTAAATGTATAGTACCCCAATTAGATGTAACTGTTGTCGCATTTATAATATGTTCTAAAAATCTTTATAGACAAGAATAACTTTATATATATATATTGAACAATAACAAATGTCARAAGTGAGTCTACTTATATACAACATACTTTGAAATTTGATATCCAACTACTTTGGTATTAACGGCAGCTTTATAATAATTCCACGTATTACCTCCTGCGCTCCAATCAACAACTACTACATTAACGTCGTTCTATAAATATAAAAAACAAGATAAATATACATGAAGCGAAAATTCGTTATTGATAAAACAATTATTTTTGTGTACCCATTGGAGCAATGCTTTCTCCATTTCGGTAATCCATTCTTCTTCACTGTGAGATAAAAATCCATGTACTATTATAATAGTTTTACGTTCAATTTTAAAATCCGTCCATTCTAGACCAAACTGTTTGCCAATATAAACTTGTACTCTGTTTGGTTGATTTCTCGATGATAAAAGAAATCTAACATCTAATGCATTTGTTCCATTAGCTTTATCAGAGAAAAACCATGATAAAGTGTTCGCAAGAGTTATTCCTAAACCAAGACAATCTACTTGATCGCTACGAAATGCATAATCAACTAAATCATCATGAGTTTTGTTTACCCATGTATAAGTATAATTTGATAATTTTTCATTTGACAAATTGACAGTTTTATTGTACAAATTCTTGCTGTTAACAATTAAAACATTATTTAATATAATCGTTAATACTATATATAGTAACATCATGAAATTTAAACACTTAAGGAACACACTAAACTAGCACCAATTGATATTAAACTTATTGAAATGATAACCTATTGCTTTCAATATTTTCTCAAGTTATCACAAACTAATGATAGATAAGAAGACATACAAAAGTAAATATAATATAATCTAAAAGGTCTTTCTATTTGGTTATCCTACATTGTTGGATCAATTCATATACTCAAATGTTTATTTACTAACAAGCTATTAAATATTATATATATATATTTATATACATACAAATGATTTGCCAATTTGTTACATAACAATATATATATATTTTTTAAAGTAATAAGTAGTAAAAAAAATAAGTCGTCTATTGGAGTAATTAGATTTTAATTTTATTATTTTTCTTTCCTTTTTTATTCTTCTTCTTACGTTGCTGTAAAAAAAAAAAAAAAAAAAAAAAAAAAAAAGTCAATTATTAATACATTATATTATTCATTGATATAATATATAATTATCTTGATATTTATATTTACTTTAGGTTGTACAAAGTTCGTCCGACGTGTGTCATTTGTGGTACTACCACCTTGGAAAACATTATTAAAATCAACAGATTTATAATCAAACTTTTCTGCAGGTAACATTCCTTTCTGTCTTAATTCCTTTTCATTCATCTTTTTCTCTCCTTTTTTACGTTGCCTATAAATACAAGAAATATATTAAAATTATAATTTGTTTTTCTTAAATGAATTTAATTGAATCTTTTAATGTTTACCTCAAAGGTTTGATAATATCATTAGAAGGAGCGGTTTCTACAGTTATTTGTTTATTTCTTTCATTCGTTGTGTCTTTGGTCCTCCTAACATCCTGTTTTATCTTTTTATTCAAGGAAGGAATTGGTGTAAACATATTACTATTGGACAATTCTTCGGATGTATCATTCATAGACAGATCTTTCTTTCTTTTTCTACCAGGCATTTCTTTCAAAGGAATACACATTTTCTTTTTTTTAGGCTTTGGACTTCGATTCGATGAAGTTTGTTCATCAGAAACAGATATCAAAGATTCATCTTTGTTTCTTATTTCATTTAATCTTTCTTCCTCTTCTTTTTCTTGTTTCTGTCTATCTTTTTCTTCTTGTTCAGCTACCATAGGTATTACACGTTTGTATCTTTCATAGGGACTAATGAATATGAATTTTTTGTTTCTATTTTGACTCGTTTTATCAGAAATTGATTGTTCATCCTAAAAAATAAAAAATAATATTTTTATTTATAAATAAAATATGATTTATTATATTAATAATTACCTCTGATGATTCTGAACTATCAAATACTCTAATAATATGATTTGTATTATTTGTATTATTTTTATATATATTTCTTGTTATTCTGCAATTATCTAAAAGACAAGGTAAATCAGTTTTAGTTTCCTTGAAATTATTTTTATTATTGTTGCATAATTTTTCTGTTATTTTGCAATTATCCAAAAGACAAGGTAAATCGGCTCTAGCTTCTGCATTGCTTGGTATGTCATGAGGAGAGTACGTCCAAGCATCTGAGTTTAGTGCATGGTTTCTTTGAACAAATCGTGGTCTAATATCGGTTTCTTTCACTGGTCTTATGAGAGGTTGATCTCGTGCTTTGAGTATAATTTTATGAAGTTTATATACATTTTGTTTAAGCAAAGTTGGAACTGGATTGCAACAAGCCGAAATGCCCTGCACCTCACGTGGTAATGCCTCAGCTATGTTTAGAAGCATATGATTTGGTAAAACATAAGCAGTACTATCGTCTTCCTCTCTAGCCGTTATGTCTCTCCATTTATGTAATTCTTTTAAAGCATAAAGTTGCTTATTGTTAAAGATTTTTTTACTTCTTCTATACATATCCATATAACTTTCTTCTGTCCATATTGGTTTTATATAAGTTTGCTTACATAACTCTGTACTTCTATCAAATACAGCCTTTAAAATGTTAGTCTTTCCATTTGAAGAATCAATTAATGCATTTCTCAATACATCTTTTATGTGCAATAAATAGTGCGTATCTTTTCTTGCATATTTTAAAAGTTCATCAGGTAAAGGTCTTATACGCCAATCAGCAAGTTGAAAGTGTTTGTTTGAGTCTACTTTACAAAATCTTTCTAAAAGATGAGCTAAACCTAAATATGGTAAATTAAGTTGTTTAGCAGCTTGATGAGTATCAAACATGTTTACCACATATAAAGACAAATCCCTTTGAAGCCATTGAATGTCATAGTCTGCTCCGTGAAATACTTTTAGAATAGTAGGTTTGGTAAAAATCTCATTGAGTTCATGTAATTCTGATCTTAATACCAACGTATCAATTATATAATCTGTATCTACAGTTGATATTTGCATTAAACAAGTTATACCTTGAAAACTTCTGTAAGAATGATGTTCCAAATCAACAGCGATCTCTTGATAGTTCTTTAAATCATCTAATAACATTTTGATATCTTCTGGCTTGTTTATCATAATCAATGGGGTTTCATGTAATTCTTTATACTTAACAGGTTCTCTCTTTTGTAATTGATTTTCTGGTACTTGAAATTTATTCAATTCGAAATCATATGGATGACAAAATACCTCTCCATCTTCAGTTTCTTCCAAATAAATAGCTAAAGGCTTTAAAGAATTTGGTTTATATTTGATTTTAGGTTCCCAAGGTTTTAAACTGTTATCAATTTTGTCTTTGAAAGTTAATTGCGGTCTTTGTATATTTTGTGCAGTCAATAAACGCACAACTTGCGTTTTAGATGCATCTGATGGTAGTTTCTTAATCGTTGATGACATATTCCAACTACCGGCTATAGTATCCTTTCTAGTTTGCGATACAACTAATTCTATTTCAGGATTCTTTACAATACCACTTTCTTCATCCATGCACAAACCAGCTTTATCCAAATACACATCATTTGCTTCCAATAAAAGATCAAATTGTTCTCCGATATCACCTTTTCCTATGTTACCACCTATTCCTGACAAATTAATTATTTTTTGCATCATCTTTAATAGTCTTCCCGCACTGTCATTGTTTGATTTATTGAAACTTGGAAAACATTCATAATAATTATAATTTTCTTCGATGGGTAAACCATTAGATGCTCTGATTCCATTTTTTATAACACTAAATGCTTCATTAAGATAATCATCAAACAAAGAAAATCCTGGAATTATTTCTTCATTTTCAATATTTCCTTTGATTTCCTGTTCACTTTCACTAACAAGTGTTTTATTATCCACTTTCTGATTTTCTTTAGGCTCCATTGTATTAAAATATTCACACGAATTTAACAATTGAAGTTCATTATTTTGAGGTTATGGTTTCAAAATTGCATGTACGCGATATACTAAATATAGTTCAGCCAGTAGTTTTTTTCTCTCTTTTATATATTATTATTATTATAATATGCTTTTTATGAATCACTTGAAAATGAATTATTTATTATTAAACAAATGAATAACGAAATAAAATATATTTATATAAATATTATTGAAAAATACAGTAATTTCTTCGGAAACAAACTCAAACAACGTGTTCACACTGAGCTATGACTGCTATAGGCTTCATTTTTTTTCTCATAGATGGCAGCCCTGCTAGAATTTACACAAAACTGTTATATACGTTTATATATTATAAAAATAAATGTGCATAATATTTTTATTGAAAAAGACAAAAATTACAAATAGAAAAGGAATAATAAGAGAAATTCATTGAAAAATTATTATTTAAACCGTTTATTACAACAAAACGATATATTATTAGATCCTATACCGTGTAGACCAAAAAACGAGCCGACTGATTGGTCGGCACATATTAACCACGAGAGACCGTACGAATTTGTTTAATTATTTATTGCTACTGGTGAGTTTGTTCGTCGTGCAATTTAATCACATAGATACGTAATATATATATATATATATATATATATATATATATATATATATATATATACATATATATATGTATATATATATAATTTATCTTTTTCGTATTTTTCATAAAATTGACCATTCCTTTGTGTGCCTGTCCAACTGGAGATATATGTATGTATATGTATATATATATATATATAATATATAATAACGAACTTTTTATTTTTTTTTATTTTTTCTAGAAACACACAGCAACAATTGCAACGATCGTCGATCAAATTACCTATTATTTTTACATTTTCCAGTTTCATTATAAACATAATATCACGTTTCCAATCTCATCATTGATTGGTTGAGTATTCGTTCTCAAGTTATAAATTAGTTTTGGTGCATTCATACACAACATGACAAAGTTAACTTCTACCTGGTAATTGAAAAAATTTGCAGTCTTCTGTCGTACTTCTATTTCCTCTCTTTTTCTCATCTCTTGTATGTTTATATTTTAATAATTTATCTTCCCTAAAAATTTTCCTTCTTATATATATCATCAAATTGGACTAAAAAATTGTTAAACTTCTCGCGTAATCATCTCATAAAGGAGACAATTAGGTTCGATGCATTTTTGCTCGTCCATTGGACAATGGTAGCTTGCATGATAAGCGTACCGTCACTCTTCATCAACAATTTCACAGCTATGATATTTGCTGGACGAATCCAGCCAACTTTCTACACCACTCGATGCGAGATCATCACAGGACGGTAATTCTGGCAGGGGTTCCATGTTAGGTGCACCCTTTTTACTTAAATTGTTTGTCGTTCTTTCTTTGGGTTTAGCACCAGCCACTAAAAGTAAAATACAATATTATTATCATTTCTATTTTATTGAAAACTTTTTCTCAATAATTTGTCCAAAAAATATAAGAAGAGATTTACCATTATTGGAAGTAGGGTTTGTATCTTTTCTATGTATCAAAGTTTGTCTAGAAGTTCGTGGACTTCTATGATCACCACTGAGTCCTATTCCAGCGTTAATAGTAGGCAATCGAATATCCAAATGCGAACCTTTTTCTGTAACTATCTAACAAGTCGTCGAAAAATAATACGATTCTGTTAGGTATATATCCTTAATAAGGATTGATGATTATACTTCATTACCTTATTGTTCATTGCATATAATTTGGTAGCAATGTCTCTTGCAACTAAAGTTGTTAAGACTGTTGCAAGATAGGCTTCTTTAACAAGAAGATATTCCAAAGCTGATCTTTGCCAGTAGACGTATCTACAAGAACTAGCAGCAACTATTGAGACCTGTAAAATGAAAATATACATCTATAAACAATAATATTCTGATTGATATTTTATATAAAAAAGTAGATAGATAGATCGTACCTTAAATTTATCATCTCTCGATGCTCTAGAACTCTCAAATTCTGGCGAGTCTAAAAATTCACAGGGTAGAATTGGATGTAAAAAGTTGGTGTCACTAAGAACGTTGACTTTACCACTGAGTAATAGACCTAGTCTGTCTGTTTTAGTTAAGTTTTGCATCGCATATGCTTCACCAGTATGAAGGGACATCACCGTTGCGAGCTCTGGGGATACTAGTCTTTTAAATTGTGCTCTTGATACCTGCTCGAATCGTATTGACGAGTGATAACTATTCTTCCTTTTTTTTTTATAACAAGATGACTTACTGTGACTTACTTTAAAAGGATAGAAAAGTGTGTGATAGACCTCCTCCAATTCAGGATCGAACCTGACCGGTCTCATTTGATAAACGATATAAACCAACTGTCCAATATTTAACAATAAGAAAGTAAAATTCCAGGAGAAGATATCTGGCGCACAGATCACGTGCCATGCCCATCCGGACAGTAACATGAAACCTACGAAATAAAAACACATTGATTTTTATTATTTTTATTAAAGTTATCTTTCTTTATTGGTATTGACAAGAAATAGATGTATCAAAAATAGGCAAACATACCGACGATTAAAACTGAGTGCATAAACAATATACCCTTCTTCGAGGACGGTGCTGAGTAAGATAGTGCAAAGCAGAAATTCGCTAACTGGAATAATATGTGTTGTGGCTGTTGCCATAGGCACAGTGCGGTATTACCTGATGAAGAAAAACAAAAATTATGAGATTTTCGTTCGATGAATAGACAAGGTAATAGAGACGAAGAAAGAAGTGACAGTATGATGACAATTGTAATACAGATTGAAAAAACATAGATACCAATGACAATTATACTCTTTAACTGACCTATTGACGTGACGTTATAGGAAGGCAAAGGGTCATGACCCAGTCCAGGGCTCATCTTTGTGCGATTTTAAAAATATATGGTATAATATATATAGTAAGAAAGTAAGGAAGACGTTTTCTATCACTACTGCGTGCCCATGTTTGTTTTGGTTAAAAATTCTTTGTTTTAGCACCGTTCTTATTCCTAAATCGCTATACAGCGCATGTCTACCTTTTCGTGCGCATGTATCAACCCTTTGGGATCGATCCTTCCTCTGATCAGATGAATCGATTCAAACATATCCCGCATCAGTTTTTTAAAGCACAATATTATTACCGACTGGTATCTACGCGATCGATAAAACAACGTTCTACTATTATCTTCAATCTTTCACTTCGCCTAATAATTTTTTATTTCTTTTTGGTAACATCGATCAATAAAAATTAATAGAAATATAGGTAAAAAATGAAGCTCGAATACTCAATGAAAGTCGATATACATATATGCAAAATGATTTTTATTTACATATCCTTCATTTTTGTAAAACCTCATAAATATGTATACTACTCAATCTACTACTGTTTATGTTTGCGTTTTCTAAAATGTACCAAATTTCGTATACGACGAATAAGGTGAAAATAATTGAATTATATTTTTGAAATTCAATCGATAATGTTTGATAAAATAATGTACATAATGAGATACTAAAATCATTGTGTCTGAAAAGAAAAATTCTCCTTCTTTGAAGTAGTCCTGGAAATAGGTCACATGAATTCAATTTGAATAAAGTATAATAGTATTTTTGATCGAAATATATATATCTATATCTATATATATATATATATAAGGTAGACAAGTTTGACTTATTTTTTATATACATAGACATTATCGCGCACCTTGTTGAAGAAAAGTTCCCTATGTAAATACAAAATACCTTCCTATTGAACTAGTCGATTTGATAAAACACGCAATCATTCGATCATTCATTCGTTGTATTTTAAAAATACGTTTCAACAACGAAACAGATATTTTCACTCTGTTTCAATATTTAATAATCATACTTCAATCATACGAACTTTCATCATTCGGTTTATAACAATTAACAAATATCATTAAAAGATTATCACTCTGCGTCGATCTTGCAAGATTCGAGAGCACCCCTGATAAAGAAAGGACGTCGGTGAAGGAAATTATCCTTATCCTTATCGAACGACCACAAATTATACGTAATCCTTAACATAAATAAACGAAAAAAAAAAAAACATTAGGAAATCGCAAAACAATTAATTCGTAATTAAATAAAATGAATCATGTTTGCGTAATCCCGTTTGTTTAAATATTTCGTTGAACAATAGGGCTAATCGAGAATATTCAGTTTACTGTTCGTTTTTCTCAATTGAGCTCGCCACGGTATTATTTGTCCATCATCGGAATCATCATCCCTAGTGTCGTTTCCTTTTTCATCCGTGTTATTATCGTTTTTTTCCTCCTTTCGGTTGTTGCAACCGATGGTGGCTGGCGAAGAGTCCCTCTTAGGTGCAATTTCTATTTTTACGGCTGGTACGATCGTTGCGTTTGATTGGACGTGATTGTTGTTAATCCTGCATGTTAAAGAAATCATTTAAATATTCGTATTAAATGTGTCACTGATTAAATATCAAGGTAAAATGAAAGTAATATTTGAAATTGTGAAAGAGAAACAAAACTCGTTTGCTATCTATCGGGTCCTACTTTTTATCTTCGTTGTCTTTTTTCGCCAACAACTGTCTCTTCCACGGTGGTATCGCTTTCTGTCTCCTTTCTTCGTTTTCTCTAGCTATTTGCTCTTCTAATTCCTTTTTAGCTCTTTCAGCAGCCTTCCTCGCCAACATCTGCCTCTTCCATATTGGTATCACATTCCCCGAACTGTCCTTTTCTGGGATCTAGCAGAACGAAAAAGAGAAATTTCAACTTAACTGTAAAATTGTGACCAAGGTATAATGAATTTATAATTTATTTCTTTTCTTTCTTTCTTTCTTTTTTTTTTTTTTAACTTACTTGGTCAACAAAGTTGGACACGCTAAAAGCCTTGCTAATTTCGGATATTAAATTTTGTTCTTGAGTCTTTTCAACCTGTGCTCGTTCCACTTTGAGTTTTTTTATGCCCGGTATATCCTTTGTTCTCTTTAATTCAGCTATCAAGTCTGTTTTCTGAACGAAGAACGGTTCCGAGACTGTAAAAATACGAAATGTGAATAATGATGTCATTATAATAAAATAGATGATCGCGATGACTATAACTTTCCCATAAACCGTACCATTTGTCATCGAGGCGCTACGAGGTGGCGGAGCGGAGAACGTTTTAGTTGCATTCATTTTTGTATTAGTTCTTCTCAATTGAATACTCGTGAGATCTTGAATACTAATGGTCGCTAATGGTTGCTGAGGTGATTTCGAATTCTCAGATTCGTTTGATGGACTAGGTGTTGTTGCGTTGGTATTATTACAATTTGGAATGCCGCGAGATTTTTGTAATGGGGATAACGGAGGTGGTGGTGGTCCTGGTGGAGATTCTTTTTCTTTTTCGTTCTTTTGTTCCTGTTGTTGTTGTTGTTGTTGGTGTTGTTGGTGTTGTTGTTCTTCCTCTTCCTCGGTATCCCTTCCCTGACAATCTAAATTGTCGACAGATCTGTAAAAATGATCATTCGTCTCGAAAGAATGATAATACTAATAAACAAATTGAATATAATCAGATAAATGATAAATTTGACACCGACCTTGCTTTAGAAAGGGTATTCTTCGAAACGTTTTTACAAATACTTTTAAGATATTCCGATGGTTTCAAAAGTGTATCCGAATCGGCCGCGTTGGCAAACTTTGGTGGTATGAACGGTAGCACCATATGTCTGTTTATCAAGTGAGACGTCTGAATCGTCTTAATTTCTTCGACGTCCGCGGGTGGACTGGCAGGAGGAACTTCCGGCTGTTGATGCTCGCCGCAGGATACGTCGCTCTTGTTGGTCGCTGTTCCGAGACAGAGAGAAAAGTGGTAGGGAGATAGAAGATTCATTATATCTCTGTGCTTAAGAGACTTTACTCTACAAACTATACGCGCTACATGTTTGAATCAATGTGTGAGTATGCATGTGGACATTGACTTGGGTACACCAAGTAAGTGAAATCTAGGTAAGTATATTATATGCCTGTTGATCGACATGGTCTAGTAAGTGTCCGTGCTCGTGATCCGCTAACAGTTTTAATTAAAAGGCCAACGAAGCACCCTAAATTGGGTGCCAACCGATTACCAACTGGTGTACTTTGCTTTTGCTGCTACTGCTGCTGTTGTTGCTGCTGCTACTGCTGCTGTTACTTCTAATTAACGTCTCTATTACTCGACTCACGTCATCTTCCTATTAATTGGCGAATTAGTATCTAAGTATCTATCTATTTATCTATCTATCTTCAGATATTATTTTCACGCTAAAGTCTTTTTTTTTTTTTCTCTTTAAAGAATGTAACAACGGTATATCTGTATTAAGTTTTACGACATTATTACTCGTTTGTATAACTTGTCTTACTCTCTGTAAGAGCAATCATACCGAAAGAAATGTAATCTTTCGTCATTTCAAGAAAATAAATTTTTATAGATATAACAAACATAAAAAGTTTAATGGTTGCCAAACAAGTTTCTATATGATCTTGTATTAAATGATACAAAAATGAGTTTATACAACGGTAATGTATAAAACAGCACCTATGTTTTTTATCAGATAATATATTATCGATGGTAAATGAAACGCGGATACATACATATATACATATACATATATATGTACGTATTTTGCAAGGACGTGTAAAGTTATTGGTGAGTCTATGCGGAAAAGAAAGGGGTCCGAGTATTACAAGTAAATAAGTATAATTCTGTGCACACGTGCGTATGCACATGCACATGCACACGCACATGTGCACGTGCGCGTATTGTGAGGAAATTCTGTCGAGCGAATCGACCAAATTATCTATATTTTACACGATGAGGACGCTTTCGATGTAAAACTTCGGAAATTCTTTTCAAACGGAGTTGCGCTCGAATGATTTACTTCCTCGAAAGAGAAAGAGAGAGAGAGAGAGAGAGAGAGAGAGAGATCGAGATCTTATAGATCACGATAAATATCAATCATTATCGATGCACTTCCTTCATACATTCCATTATTATCATTATATTCTTTTTTCCTTATCTGTTTTATTTTTTTTTTTATTTTTTGTTAGCATATTCGCGATAAATAAAAGTAGTAAAGACAATAATGACCGTAATTAACGTGAAAGAAGAAGACGTTACCGTTTCCAGTTTTGTTTTCCTCGCCATTGTCATTACCATCCTTCTTCTCGTTATTGCTTTCACCATTTTGTTTAGAATTCACAACTAATACTACGACGTCCTCTCTGTCTGGCGGTGGGGGAGGTGGCGGGGGTGGAGGTTTGGTGAAACTGGACAAAAAGTAAAAAGATGATATTTCAAAAAAAAATGAAAAAAAAAAATTGTCATATAAATATATATATATATATTATATTATTATATTTTTTTAATATATTATATTATAATTATTATATTATATAATAAATTATATTTAATATAATATATATTTGTATATTAACATTAAATAATTAATATTAATTAATAATATTATTAAATTATTAATATTATATAAATATATATGAATATATAGATATGCATATAGATTGATTTTGATTTCAAAGTTTTACGATTACTGTCATCCTGTATGAAAGTGTTTCACGATATCCTCTTGGCTTTTATTCTTTTTTTTTTTTTTATTCAATTTGATTAGATCTACGATTTGATTTGATTCTGTTAACAGGATGATAGGTATCATCGGCTCGTGGATGTCGTATCTATCGATACTTATAATATTATAATATACCGGATGTATAATAGTAATAATAATAATAATAATAATAATAATCATAATAAAATAACGATAATTTTTAGAAAGAATTATATACATATATATATATAGATATATATATCGGTGCAAGTAGGTAATTCTCGATTCGGTCTACTTTCGCGATCGATCGTTTTTCTCTCAATGTTCATCGATTTAGCCTACTTACCTGGGTCCACTATTATTGCTTGGCCTTATCTCCTTTTCACTTTCCACTTGGTTCGTAGACGACTCTTTCCTTTCTATAAAATTTTACCAATTAAATACAAATCAATATTATTATTTCGAATATTATCAAAGAAGACAATGACGACGACGACGACGACATTTGTTCATTCGTTTGTTCAGGGAATTGATCAAACCAGATTAGATAAAACAAAACTGAACACGTTGTAATCTCAATTTCGTTCATTTTCAAATAACAGAAGAGAAAGAAGTATACGGTAGGCCCTCGACTTTCGCACATAATTGGTTCCTAAAAGTGTGTGAGAATGTTGAATGTTCAAAAGTAGTGGGATGTAAAAGAATATTTAGCACCAAACATTTTGTTTTAAAGTATTTATCTAAATTAGCAAAACACACAACACGTTGACTCACGCCATGATGCAAGATTGAAATTGTTTTGTTCTCTTTATCCGAACAATGTCATCTGATGGCTAGTCTGATGTCCCCTGAGAGGAGACATTCGATCATAAAAGATTAAACAGTTGAATCTTTAACAATGTGCAAAAGTAGAAATCGCGAAAGTTGAGGGCTGCCTGTATTTTTAATTTGAAAAAAAGAAAAGCAAGAAAAGCAAGAAAATAAAATAATTTAATAATTGTTTACCATGCAAAATGTCGGCGTTGATTTTGGTTGATTTATTGATTCGTTCGTTGCTACTGTTACGAGACAATGACGGTGTTGACGTAGTTGATGAAAAACAATGTATTTCACTGCTCATATTCGAAGATTCACTGGCACTACTCGATCTACTGTATCGTCGATTGGTTTTTCTTGATCGGCTGTAAAGTTCGTTGAACGGAATATTTTTATCTATCGATATTAAATCGTATCAACCAATCTGTCTCTTTCTCTCTCTGTCTGTCTCTTTCTCTTTTTCTATCTTTGACGAATATTTTTCGTTACCTTGATTCTTACGAAATTCAAACCATACCGCGAGAAATTATTAGATAACATTTTACAAACTAACACAACCGACTTAAACGACGCCCCGATGACGATTTCACTCTACCAGCTACCTTCCAACCGTTTATATTTCGCGATCGCGACTTATCTTTTCTCTTGGAGAGAGAGAGAGAGAGAGAGAGAGAGAGAGAGAGAGAGAGAGAGAGAGAGAAAGAGAGAGAGAAAGAGAAAGAGATAAAAAAAAAGAGATACAGAGAGAAAGACGATTACCGTTTACGCTGACCACAGCTACTACACCTGTAGTATATGTTTTTATTTTCTTTTATTATAAAACTCTTATCTCGATTATGTATCACGTATATTATGATTCCTTGAAATTATATTAAATTATAAATATTTCAAACTCAGAGAGAACAATAAGAAAGATATCGTTTATTTTTGTTTTAAGTAATATTATATTGAATTATTAATTAGGGCGTGCGAATAATCAAATTTTATTTATTTATTAACTCATTTCGGACGTATTCAATTTGGACATGGGTATCGTAGTGGTCGAAATTAATTTATATATATATATATAATATATTATATAATAATATATAAAATATATTTATAACAAAATATATATTTTATATATAATATATTTATATGTATAAAAAATTAGCACGGTTTTTTGTATGGATGCTGAGAGCAGATATACGATCAGAACGGCAAAAAGGTTTTAGTAGCTAAGACTAGACATGCATCCGAAAAGTGTTAATATTTTTCTTTTGAAAAATAAAATAAATCTCGTTAGGTTATATTACAAAATGTTTACGTTATATTATATACTCGTACGACGAGATTTCAGATAAAAAATTGTAAATCGTGAAATAAACGTTTCAATTTATTCGATTAAATGTAAATCTGTGAATTAGAAGTTTCGTATCTAATGTAAATTGTAGATATAAGAAAAAAAAAAAAGAAAAATGTTGAAATATAAAACATTTATTAGGCACAGTGAAAATGATTTTCCATCGAAATAGAAAGTAATGAAATAAATTCAAAGTTTAGAACATTCTAATAATATTTATAGAGCAGGAAATGAAACTATTCATTATGCATCAATTGTAAAAAGAAAAGAATAACAAAAGGAAGGAAAAAAAATCCCCCCCCCCAAAAAAAAAAATAAAAAAAAAAAAATTACGATCTTTTGATTCGACATTCGATCGGTTGAGAAAAAAGTTGAAAGAATTGAAAGACTCTTTCGGTGAGAGAGATCCACTTGCATAGTCATCGTATTAAATAAACCGATTAACTCGTTCGAATGAACAAAACGAATGAACATACACAATAGTACCCGAAAAAAAAAAGAAGAAAAAAACAAACAAAAAAATACTTGTATACTTTCCTCGGCAATCATTTCTGTAAAATTCGTTTTGCTAACAATTCCGATAGTTAATTACACTTTCGTTTGAGTAACAAAACATCAGACACTTTCTCAAACCATGTAACGTACAAAATATAATAGTTGACGTGTTAGCTTTTGGTTTGTTCAAACAATAAAACAAACGTCTAAGTAAGATAAAATTCATTAGCTCGTAAAGTTAACGATAAATTCAATACAATACAAGATAATAATTTATGGCCAGTTTGTTGTAATTATTTCAATAATTATTTGTACTCACCTACTATCCGAAGCATTGTCGATGATTTTTTTATTTCCTGACGATCCAACGCTACTTGTTTCTTCTTGCCTCAAACATATTTGTTCGTATGCATGTTCCGATGGGGTTTCTCGCGTGATTTCTGTCCTACCTGTATGACCGTTCCCTGGATGAGTTTTACCGAAGCTACCACCGTTGTTTATGTGAACGTCCACTTTCACTGCAAACAAACCAAAAGGAACGGATATGTAATATAAATATAAAATATAAATATATATATATGCTTGTACGTAGAACACTGTTAAACATATATTTATATATCTATATAAATATATATATAGTATAATATTATATAGATTCCAGACCTCGGAGCATCACGCGAATCTTTGCGGTTTCGTGAGCCAAGTTGTATAAAAAGACTACTACTACTATCACAACACTAATGTTCTTTAACTTTCACCGTAACGTTCCGAGTGAAAAATAACAAGAAGATGTTGACCTCATCGTTCATCTTGATGTTAACCTAAACGATCATTCAGAGATATTATCGAGTTAGAGTTTTGTGTAGTTAATCATCAACAACGCACTCTTTTTTTATAAAATCAACACGTGAAAGATCTAAAAGGGATCATAAAATGGCTCACCTAAGTGTTTTTTAGATTTACATAAGAGTTTTAGGACTATCTTTTTATACGGTTAATGAAATTTTGGTAATAAATTTGAAAGAACACGATCAGAAATATTTATAACATAACCGGTTTTCTTTTTTTACAAATATACATACATATAAATATATATATAATATATATATATATATATATTTTATTATTATATTATTAATTTTTATTTTATTATATTATAATTATATAAAATTTTATAATATAATATAATNATTAATTTTTATTTTATTATATTATAATTATATAAAATTTTATAATATAATATAATATTTACTATATTATTATATAATAATTAATATTATTAAATAATAAATAAAATAATATATATTTTTTATTTTATATACATATTTTTATACTTATATATATTATAAATAAAAATAATATGTATAATAATAATATATTATATTATTATACTCAATTTATATATTAATTATATTAAATTATAATTAATATGTAATATTAATATAATATAATATAATTAATATTATAATTAATATATAATATTAATTAGAATATAATATAATAATATTAATTATTATATTATAATATAATAAATATATAATTATAATATAATATAAATTATATAATATTATAATTATATTAAATTTATAAATTTATTATAATTACAATAATATTTATTATATTATTATTTTTTTTTTTATATAGCTTTATTTAATGTCGCATCAACCATAGGGGATTATTAGCGACATTATTATATTATATTTCATTATATTATATTTATTTTATATATTATATATATATATATGTGTATTTATGGTTGTTCAGAAAAGCGAACGTCTCTTCAGCATGAGTGTTATAACGGTTGAACGGGTTCCGAGACAAATCACGTGCATTTCTATAGAACGTTTTTCCCGCGGCACATATTCAACGTCGTTGTTGCCCACGTAATAATCTCTCTTTTTCATGTGGACCCAACCAACACAAACGTTCTCTTTGCTCGACAATTACAAAGAAGTAAGAAAAGAAAAAAAGAGAGAGAAAGAGAGATATTATATTAGTCTATAAAAGATTTAATAACACATTACCAACAAAAGAGTGGATAATTTTGTGAAATTGTTCATGTCGTAATACTTGTTAAGACATATTATACATATATACATATACATACATATATATATATATATTTAATCAATATTGAATTTATTAAATCTATCGACAAAAGATAATATCGATTGATTATTATCTGTTAATGGAAAGTTAGAAAAATAATAAAACATCAAAAAACAAATGTTTATAAGATAATTTTATAAAGATATCTATCATATACGGGTTCGAAGGAATTAAAGATGTAATTGTATATATATATATATATATTGTATATGTATTTGGAGACATAGTTAACATTTTGATATCTAGGACGTGCTACTTTACCAGTTAAAGTCTCGTCTTTCCTCTCAACGTGACGTTGTTCGGTGGTGGATACCAAGACACCGTTCCGTGGTTTCTCAACGTCGTTGAACAGATGCGTAATCCTGGTATATACGAGATCATGAGGACTGTGCAAATAAAAGGATTCCATGTCCTTTGGTTTCTGTGGCTCGTTAATATATGCGCTCATTGGATTTATATAAATTCCATCTCTTGGTCTTGATCCAGGTGGATGAAGAAAAAAAGGTTCTTGAAACATACCGCCAACGCCAACGCCAACGCCGCCGAGGCCAACACCACCACCACCACCACCACCACAACCACGCAAGGAACACTACGTGAAAGTCAATCAAATATTCAAAATAAAAATAAAAAAAAACGAATTATTCATTAATTTTCTTATAATATATATATATATTTTTTTTTTGAAAAATTGTTAATTAATTAATCTTATCGATATGCTAATTAGGACAACCATTTGCGCGTTTTCTCTCAAATAGATTACTTAATTACTATTATTTTTTTTTATATTTCTTTTTTTTTCTTTTTTTTTTTTTGTGAATAATTACTTTCTCGACGGAGCTTGCCATACAGCTACACGTTGTTACATCGCTAGTATTTTCCGAATAATCCGAGCCTGATCGATCCCTCGACATCTTCTTGGAGACATTGGTACGACCCTTGTTGTTGGTCTCCTGTAATTTATTTTTATTTTATTTTATTTTATTTTATTTCATTTTATTTGACGATATAAATTCATTAATATAAAATTTACAAAAATAAGTTAGGTAAAAAAAAAATAAATAAATAAATATAATTTTATATATGTATAAAATATATTATATATATATATATATTATATGTATAATCAAAAATATATATATTTTATATATATTTTATATATAATTAAAAAAATATATATATATTATATTATAATATATAATAATATATAATTTTTAAATAAT